GAAAAAAAAAATCGCGACATTTTGCGACTTAGCGAAAAATATTATCGGCTTCGCACATCGCGAACTCAACTTCGAATTTGAATTTCGAACCCTAAGCACACCAACCCCCCCTTTGAATAGACATGGGCATGAGCCGAGCCTGGCTCGGCTCGGCTCGTTTGGGGTCGAGCCGAGCCGGCTCGCCGGTCGAGCCGGCTCGACTCGCCTCGAGCCGGGTCCTCAGGATCCCCGGCTCGGCTCGTCAGGGGGGCTTGTGCGGGCTCTCAATTGGGGCCACGGGGTTTGGGGTCTCTAGTATAGGGGACAATCCATATTATTTAGCTGATCGTCTGCTCCTACATCTTACAAAACTATCAGGAGGAGCTGCCGGTTTAAGTATGGCTGGCTGAGGTTGATAGACTAGCGCGACAGCTTGAGGTTAGGGTTGTCAGACAATATTGGCTGGGGGGGGTTGTCGATCTGAAATTTGACAGTCGCAAAACCCCCCTTTCCCTAGCCGCGAGCCGGCTGGCTCGAAATCGAGCCAGCTCGAGCCGGCTCGACTCCGGCTCGCTTGATTTCACGTGCGCGAGCCAAGCCGAGCCGCCGGCTCGAGTCAAGCCGAGCCGGCTCGGCTCGAGTCGAGCCGGGTACCAAAAAAGAAGGCTCGGCTCGCCTTAAAGGCGAGCCGAGCCGAGCCGAGCCAGGGGTGGCTCAGCTTGTGCCCATGTCTACCTTTGAACATCGGTCGACGGTCCACCCCACTCCACCTCGTGACTTCCCGATCCCACCTAAAATTCGATACTCATTCTTGCAGTACCCTTCCTACCATAGCTTGCCCTCCACCAAGACTTCCAGCCCTACAGCATCACCCTCTCCCCCATCTGCTGAGGCATCCCGTAGTTCCACCTGCTCAGAAAAAAATTCCCCTGCCCGGACCACCGTATTCTGTGCGTATCCCACCCCCTCCTCCTAAGCATATTGCATTTATACGCTCTCGTATAAACGCTTTCGTACAAAATGCGATACGCGCATATTCCAACTTAGACCTAATGCAGTCACGCTGAAGTGTCCTATCACGAATTCGTGGAACCCCCCTGGTTGTGTACCTAAAGTGTAGCCCGCCATCAAGGAATAACCAGAAAGCTTTTAAAAGGCTGCATTCGGAACGATCAAAGAGTCGTATGTGAGAGGAATATGTGCCTGGGTGGGACACGGCGTGTTTCGGGTAGAAACAAGCTACACCTGGCATGTGCCAGGGAGTGGGACGCACATGGATGGAGCAAAGCATGACGGTGTGGAGAGAAAGACCAAGAGGGTGACGATGGGCACGTGCCACAGAGCTGATGTGCAGAAAAGAGGGATTACAGGACGACAAGGTTGGTTAACGTGATCAAAGCTGTAGGGATGGTTCCTGAAAGCTGGTTCTTGCGCAACGATCTGCGGGGATGTTGGGTGTGTGGTTGCGGGCACGTGAGAGGGAATAAAGGCACAGGTCCAAGGTATTGGTTGCTGCCTCACTCGCGACACGAGAAGGCAAGCAATCTTCATGGTGAGTTGACGTCCAGACGATTTCAAGCAGCATGGTAACTAGTTCTAGCCCTGCTTTATGACAACTCTCTTCATTTCATTATATTTATCCAAGGCGGAACAACACTCAGCCTTTGCTGCCTTGTACACATGTTGAAGACGGCTGCTAAGTATAATTTTCATCAATCTTGAGCTCTGCATTTCCAGTTGCAGAAAACAAAAGGGGTGGATGGAACACAGATTTGCACTTGTCTGGAACGCTAGATGCTTCCCAAACAAGTGGAAGAATGCTCACAGGTGCATAAGAGAAGATAGTGTGCTGATTGACTCTGGAATGGACCCAGTCACATTGTTGCTTCCTAACCCTCTGCAACCACAAGGGGCGAACAAACAAAAGCTCACACGAAGTGTGGGAAGTTTGAATTGTATGTTACCAAGTAGACAAGCTTTGCCCCCAAGTCTACCAAGTATGTTCTGCTCTTGGGTGTGACTTACAGGTAGAATAAAGAAGTGCTCCACTTAGAAAAATCAGGCAGCGACCCTGATAGGTTAATTCCTTGAAGGTTTCTGTTGCCGAAAAACAGCAGCACAGAGAGGGGATTCAAATAGGCACAAATATTAGAAGCGACATGAAATGGCTGAGAAGCTGAGGCGCACGCGAAGAGGAAGAAAGGCTTTGCCGGAATGCCATAGACACATACAGAGCGCCAAGGGAATTACTTGATAAACTGCTTGGCAGGCGTCCATTGAAACGGTTGTTTTGCAAGTCTCTGAAGGTTGCACATCACATACAGCAAGTGGGATCAGCACAAGAAGAGAAAGGTAATTGGGGACTCAGATTCATTCATGGTAATAGAATATGCCTAACATATCATTCTTCATTTTAACACGTAATTGGCGATGGTAGTTTCAGGTATGCTTAGGTGATGAACTATGGATCTGCTGCAGGGTGTTGGGTGATGTTCAATGGTTCTGCCCTTAATCATTCCTGCAACCTGGCTTCGTCGGCTCCCCAGTTCCCTCTTTTCAAGAATGGCCATGGGCCACAGGGGGAGGGAAGGGGGAGGGAAAGGGGAGGGAAGGGGGAGGGAAGGGGGAGGGAAGGTGGAGGGAAGGGGGAGGGAAGGGGGAGGGAAGGGGAGGGAAGGGGGAGGGAAGGTGGAGGGAAGGGGGAGGGAAGGGGGAGGGAAGGCGGAGGGAAGGGGTAGGGAAGGCGGAGGGAAGGGGGGGGAAGGGGGAGGGAAGGGGGGTGGAAGGGGGAGGGAAGGGGGAGGGAAGGGGGAGGGAAGGGGGAGGAAAGGGGGAGGAAAGGGGGAGGGAAGGGGGAGGGAAGGGGGAGGGAAGGGGGAGGGAAGGGGGAGGGAATGGGGAAGATAGAAAAGGAGGGATGGGGGAGGGAGGTGACAAACAAACATGAAGAGTTAACCCTTACAAATCAACAAGACTCGGAAAAGTGAAGAGCTTTAAAGGAATCTCCCCATAAAATTCGTTGGCGTCCAAGTATCTGGGAACAGGGGGATGAGATAGAGCAAGAGTAGTCGCACGGACCACCAATGCATGCCCTTGCGCAAGAGAGAGAGACCACATGATAAAGCTACCCCGGGTGGAGGGGGGATAAAGCTACCCTGGGTGGAGGGCAGATACAGCTACCCCGGGTGGAGGGCAGATACAGCTACCCCGGGTGAAGGGCAGATACAGCTAGCTACCCCAGGTGGGGGGGCGGATACCTGTGTTGACAAAAACGCTTTTGCGAGTTTGCATTTTGAGTTTAAACGCGATCGTTGAAACGCAATACGCAAAAACGCATCAAAACGCTCGAACGCACCCCGCACATTTAACGGGCTGACCAGAACGAAAAATGCAGAAAAAAACGAGCGAAGCCAAAAATCAAAATCGCATTTCGCCGCGCGTCGCGATTCGACAACTCATTTCGCGTGTTGCACACTCGCTAAACTTTTCCAGTAGTACATATTCCTACAATGGCTGAGGGTGAGGGTTCGTCAAACAGCCCGACCATGCGATATTCAAGCAGTTTAGGACGGGTGTGGCAGTAGACGGTAATCGAACAGAGACACGAAATGCCTAACTGCCCCGCGACATTCGTTGGTGGGACGATGCGCACCGCACAGCATCTGACAGAGTGAAACGGGATGACAGTAAAATTTCTGTTGTCCCCTCCTCATCCTCCTCCCCCCCTCCCCCCCCCCTTCCCCTTCCCCTCCCCGGGCAAAAATTTCCACCTGCCCGGGCAAGCATTTTCCGAGCGTATTTGAAGCCTGAAATCCTGCGCTTTGCGTCCTGAACACAAGCGTTCAGAACGAAACGCAAAAAACGCGGAAACTCGTTTATCACAACGTAGGCGGATACGGCTACCCCGAGTGGGGGGCGGATACAGCTACCCCGCGTGGAAGGTCGATACAGCAACCCCGGGTGGAGGATGGATACAGCTACCCCAGGTGGGGAGCGGATACAGCTACCCCGGGTGGTGGGCGAATACAGCAACCCCGGGTGGAGGGTGGATACAGCTACCCCAGGTGGAGGGCGGATACAGCTACCCCCGGTGGAGGTAGCTGTATTTGCCCTGCACCTGAGGGTCGATGAGGCTGAGGCCTCTAATCGTGACCGGCAGGGATGCTTGCTGCCACAGTAGGCTCCGCTCTGCCGTAAATTTCGGCTCCTGTGCACATGGGCCAAGAACGTTGCACGCTCACAAGACACCTCAGTGACTTCTGTGGCCACAGCTCACCAACCAACCTTGTCTGAAGTGACAAGCAAGTGGTACTCATGACATACAGAGAGGCAAGATTCGACAGCTTGGATATGCCATCCGGAATGGACCCGTAGAGACCATTTTGCCCAATATCCCTGCAGAGAGGACGAGGAGTAAAGGCCTTGTGCAATGTAAAGGCGTTTGGCATTTTAAGGCATTGTGCATTGCAAAGGCATTCTGCATTAGAGTCGACTCAACAGCAGACAATAATATGCTCCTCTGCTTGTGTCTTCCACTGGCAAGGGCAGTGAGTGAGCGTACAAGGACATTAAGCTGGTAAGCTTTTCCAGCACGGTAGGGAAGGGCCCTTGGATGTTGTTGTCTCGAATATCGCTGTGTGGAGAAAAATAAGATTTAGGCAAAGAAACAAACCAGTGACAGTGTGTGTAGCAAACAAGTGAAATGCCACAAGATCGGCGGCGGTTGGGTGACTGAGGGAACAATGAGGACAAGAAACTGCCCGTAGTGCACAAGCATCAATACAGACAGCTAAAAACGGCACCCACCCACATGTTATCATAGGCTCTTGCAAAACACGAAAGTCACGATAACAAGGCCCGGCCACTTTAAAAGGCTGCTCACAATCTTTGAGGTTTTCCTTGAGAATCTGAATGAAGTGTAGGCAACTCACAACATCTCAAGCAAAGGCAAAGACGAAAGATCTGGCAAATCACCAGAAAACTTGTTGAAAGGCAAGTCCCTGCAAGAATTTACCAGATCCGACCACGGGCATGAGCATGAGCATGGGCATGAGCATGGGCATGAGCATGGGCATGAGCATGGGCATGGGCATGAGCATGAGCATGAGCATGCACATGCGCATGGGCATGGGCATGGGCATGAGCACGGGCATGAGCATGAGCATGGGCATGAGCATGAGCATCAGTAGCGACTCACAAACATGCACCCCCCGTATTCAGGTGAATCACAAGGAAGAGCTGACTCTGTCTGACGGGTCAACTCAGACAGTCGACTCTGCCATTCTAACTTGTACGGACTGTAATGTAGCTATCAGAGGCATTACACCATATGAAGCCAAGTCATCCTGCTGATCACATCAAGCCCTGATGATAACTGGTTATTGGAAAGGAGCCTGAAATGCGCAATCGGGAAGCAACCGGGAAACAACGAAAGGGGAAGCAAGGCGAAGCAAGGGAGAGCGAAGGAAAGAAGGAAAGAGGATGAAGGGAGAGGGTTGAGTAAGAGTGAGGGACAGACCTGGGGGGAAGGGGAAGAGATGGATGGAGAGACGTTGCAACAACAATGATTTGTGGTACAGCAACAACATAGATTAAAAAGAACTCTTCCCGTGAATGATGAGGAAAACAACATATCTCTCGTGAGTTCTCAGTTGCAGACTTGTTCGGATCCCCAGGGCAGGCCTCTCAACCGCTTATCACCTCCCCCCCCACATCTCTGCAGATTTCTCAAACCTCGTCGTCAGCCATAATCAACCTTGAGAGCCGACAGATTTTGCTGCTTGCACGCTCATGCGTTACAGATCACGACACCGCTTATGCGTCTCTATCCCTCACTCTTGCAAGTTGTAGCCGCCCATGTGTGTGCTGCCTGCATCTATGTTGTCTAAACGAAACTGTACAAGACGATGTGGAATGGAATATCCTTTCTATAATAAAACTCCTCACGGCAGACTGTAGCTTCCAACACGTGCCTGTGTGTATTAAAATGGCAATGGCGAGTCCAAGTCAATCCTTACAGAAAGGAAACACCACTGAGGTTTGTGAAAGACTCTGGAATAGCCCCTGTGAAGTTGTTGGCAGTAATATCCCTGGAAACATTACAAGAGAAATGCGAAATTCAGCTGTTGCGATAACAACTAGTCCTCCCAATAAGTCCGCGGCTCCAAATATAAACAAACAAACAAACAAACAAACAAAAAACAAAAAAAAAAACATAAAGAAGCTTAGTTTTGAGGCATGAAAATTAAGGAAATAAGATCATGGCATCCACATAGACGCACATGTTACAACGTGAGCGGCAGACACTCACAGATTTGTGAGGCCAGTGAGGAAACCAAGAAAGGGTGGAATGGGGGCAGGAAAATTATTTCCCTGAAGACCACTGCAATGGCGCCAAGAGAAAGAAATCAGTAGAAGATGGAACAATGCACTTGTTACCAGTGAAAAAAGGGACTTATAGCTCTGGGTAGTCTACGAAAGCCCAACGACCATTAAGTGTAGAAGAAATAAAAACGACTATGAGGGTTGGTAGGGTTGGTGCTACGGCCATGCAGGGGATATACAGGTCAATGACTGTAGTGGAGAAGACTGGTGGGATGCCGCCATCCATTCTGGTGCCGCTCAACGTCCTGCACCATGGATGACAACGTAAAACATAGCTGGCTTTGACTTTGAGAGTTGTTCGTATGGAAAGCATGCAGCACGAATTAGAAAGAATACAAAGGGCTGAGTAGAAACACAACAGTAGTTGTACTTGTACAAGTAAAATTACTACAGCAGACACAAGTAGCACAAGTGTATCTGCTATATCTGCTGACAAGCAAGTAGAAGCAACTTGCATAAAACAGCACGATGCTGCTTCTACTTGCTTGACAGCAGATACAGCAGATACTCGATAAACATTTGCATTCAAGTTGTTTGTGGATCTGTTTTTAAAACGGATCCGCTTCTCAAACAAAAGGCAAAATCGACGAAGCAGAGTTGGCAGATTCCTACGTTGACCCAGCTTGAGCAAGCTACATACAGGGTGCACAACGAAGTGAGCGCAGAGAATGTTGACGGAATGGAGCCCTCAATCTTGTTTCGAGCGAACGACCTGCACTCGCAACCAGTGGCAACAGACAACATCACAATTGAAAAATCATAAACAAGCAAATAGTCATAGGGAACCAACCAAAGCAGCGCCAAAAAAGTGGTTGTATGTTTGTTAGTCAACTCAGAAAGGAAGCGTGACATTGACGATGAGGATAACAAGGGGAGTGCAGTTTTCCCCTCTAAAGGCCATCGGAAGACAGCTGCAAGCAACGGATGGAAGGGGCTCACAGGAAGGAGAGTCGGTCCAAAGATGTCCAGTACTCTGGGAGAACGCCAACCAGCCCATTGCCCGAGGCATCACTGCCGGTTAGCGAGGAGTCAGTAGTACATGGCCATTAAATAAGCGGTGCGCAATTTCTTCTCTCGCACAACGGCAATTTATGACAGTACATAGGTTTTGACGAAGGCCCATTTCAGAAGGTTGAAACTTGCCTGTTCAGGCAAGCAAACATGAAGCTGTGACGACTGAACCGAGTTCTAGTTTGGAGCTGAGTAGAGTAGGGCAAGCAAGCATGCCACTAGAGATGCATGCACCATCCCTCTTAGCTTCAATTGCTTCAAACATGCTGAGGACGTTCAAAATATCAGATGCGAAGTGCAGCCACTCACAAATGCTGCAGTTGGTTGAGGCGGGAGAGGTCCTGCGGCACCACTCCACTGCGGTCGTCAGAGCGATGAGCCACGTCCCTGGCAGGGGAGAGGACAGGGTTTGGGAGAGGGAGGAGGTAGGGGAAGGCAGAGGTGTTGGTTGGTGGGGTTGGGGCGGGGAAGATGTTTGTGTGACATAAGACAGGTTCTCCCACTCATTCTCCATTCCCATGCTCCTTGCTTTCTTCACTTTGGCCAGCCCAACCCTGACTGGCAAAAGGTAGCCCAGCACTCTTGTGTGTTGGGCTGGCTGTCCAATCGAATGTAGGTCGCAGACTCGCAGTGCCGTTTGTTACACCAGCCGCATGTGGGGTTCTTCGCCCTTGCTGTTGGGCTCTTCACGGGGCTGCTTTTGAGGCGCCTCAAAAGCAGTCCCAGCCGCACGTGGAGTTCTTCGCCCTTGCTGTTGGGCTGTTCACAGGGCTGCTTTTGAGGCGCCTCAAAAGCAGTCCCAGCCGCACGTGGGGTTCTTCGCCCTTGCTGTTGGGTTCTTCACAGGGCTCTTGCCTCGTCCGCAGCGGCTTTCTCAAGCTCCTCGCAGAGCAGAGCATGCGGCTCTCGTCCGCTTCCGCTCCAATGTGGCTTTCTCACCATGGCGGCTCAGAAACTCTTCTATGACATCCTCCACTGCCGGTCGGTGCTCCTGCAGCGGCTGCAGGCCAGCAACATCAATCATCACACGTGCTGGGGGGGTGGTACAGGCGGCCTTTCCCCAACCCCTCTCGGACCCATGGGCCCCTTACCTGGGCGACCCCACCCAGGAGAACTAGAGCATGCAGTCGGGGGGAGGCTGGTGCCCGGGTCTGGAGCGGGAGGCTATTTATTTGTTCTGGTCCTTGGGTAGCTTCCATGGTTGTGTGTGTTCCTCAGCTTTCTACAGTTAGTTCCCTTATGCCTTTGCCTTTGCCCGTAACTTCTACTTAGAATCCTATCAATGAGCAGGACCACTTGATTGAGAGAGAGAGAGAGAGAGAGAGAGAGAGAGAGAGAGAGAGAGAGAGAGAGAGAGAGAGAGAGAGAGAGAGAGAGAGAGAGAGAGAGAGAGAGAGAAGTTCCAAGTATAAATGCCTCTCTCCTCCATTCAGTCCCTCATTATTCATTTCTGTTTTGGTGTGTCTCCTTCCCACCAAGGCGTCGGCTCGCGCCGGCGGCCTTCGGCCGCGGGGGTAGGGCAACAGGGACAGTCCAAGGACAGGATCAACTCTTACACAGTTCCATACAGGCAAGGGAGCAATGACTGCTCCTACACTACCCGCCTCATCACATGATGGTGCAACCCCGCTGCCCCAGCCTGCCAACACAGCCGTGCGCACCCCGGCGACCTCTACTAGGCTCGAGCAGCGTGAGCAACGGCCTGACGCACCGCCCGCAGCGTCGCCGCACAGCCGCCGACCAGGGTGAGCGCCTGATCTTCATCAAGCGCCTGCACTAGCTCCTCAGCAGCACGAGGAGCCACATCAGCCCTTCGGCCACCCCGATCCGCCGACGTCGGCAGATATTCCGCGGCCCGGCGGATCCGCGCCACCGCCTCCAGGGCCCGCGCACGCTGCTGCCGGGACAGAACGGGCTCCTGGGCATCCAGAGGCCACCGCCCCACCACCTGCCACAGGCACTCAAGGACATCCGCCAGAGAGCCCAGGCAATCCAGCAGCGCCTCCAGCTGCCGACCAGTGCCCGCGGGATCGGACGGAGCACTGGCTGGAGACGCTCCAGCGGCTGCAGGCTCTGCACGCCGACTTCCAATTGCTGTCCGAAGGCGCCTGGTGGGGGGGCGCACGCGTAGCCTGGGAGCATGCCAGGGCGGCGCGCTGGGCGCGGCAGTCACCTGGGGCGACGCCCCAAGCAGGACGCGGGAGGCCTCCTCTAGACGCACCCCCCACTCGACCGCCTGCGCCTCCACAGAGGCAGCAGGAGGCGGGCGCGCAACCGCGGGGACGAGGCGACAATAGAGGAGTCACGGAACACGCAGCGGTGCGGCTGGCTGCGGGCACAACCAGTGCGTCCAACGGGGCGGAAAGACACCGAGGGAATGCCACAGGCACGACCGCGAGAACGCGAGCCGCGGCAAGGAACGGCGCCCAGCGAGACCCCGCGACGATCCCGCCAAGGCGCAGGGGACGACGACGGAGGGGAACGGGGGGAGCAATCGGAGTCAGGGTGTCAGGGAGGAGGCGCCCAATCGCGCGTGAGGGGGACTGGCGGGCGAGACACGGCCGCCCTCGGCTACCTGAGGAGGCAGGGGAAGGCAATGATTTGGAGGGGGGAGGCGACGAGGATTATGTAGCCTCGGAATCAGAGGTCTCAGCGGGGGAGGAAAGTTCAAACCATGCCTCGGCGGACGAGGCAAACCACATGCGCCGCCCACGCAGGCGAGGACAACAGCGGGAAACTATCACCTCGCCAGATCTCGCCGAAGAATCAGGGCCAGCGCAACCCCGCCCGGTAGACGAGATGGCCCAAGATGAGGTGCTGTGGCGAATGGTAACGGAGTGGGACCTGTCGCCACTCCAAGACTCCAGGCAGCCCTTCTTGGTCCGTCATCTCCCACCAAAAATCCTGGAACAGTTCGCCGAATGTTTGCTGATTCCCCTCCAGCGCATCAAAGTAGACCCTAAATGCCTGGGGGGATGGCGAATCCTGACTTTCCGACCTCGATTGACACTCAGCCTGCACATCGTCACGCGCAACAGCTGCTAGTCTAGGAGTTAGTCCTGAAGCGAACCTACGACCACATCGCCATGAAGCCAGTAGATGACAAGAAGCGCGCGCGAATCATAAGCATGTTGTGCAAAGGGCATTCGACTAGGAAAATAGCCAAAGTTCTTGGCATAGGCAAGAGCACCGTGCACGATTATGGTTTGAAGGTGATTGCCGAGACTAGTCGCGATGACGTGCAACCCACGATGCCCACGGCCGGCCGCCCCCGCTTAATCTCAACCCGACTTCAGCGCGGAATAGTTCGAGCGATTACAAGTGGCGAGGTGAAAAGTAGTGTAGACGCCGCAAAGATGTTGCAGTTAGCACGGTCTGGCTGTAGACTCGAAGACGGTCAGGAACTCGTTACGATCCGTGAGCTTGATCGCCGTGCAGCAGCCCAAGAAACCCAGGCTCTCACCGAAAAACATACGTGATCGTCTCGATTTCGCGAGGTCGCATGCCGGCTGGACGCTGGAGGACTGGAAGCGTGTGATTTGGTCTGATAAGACTAAGATAAACCGTTAATGCTCCGACAGACGTGCGTACGCCTGGATTCGTGAGGGCACCAGCCTCCAGAGCCATCAAGTCCAACAGACAGTTAAGCATGGGGGCGGTTCTGTGATGCTGGAATGGCCCTCGTCCTCCCCGGACCTTAACCCCATAGAGCACCTGTGGGCACACTTGAAAAGGCAGCTGGCGGCGTACGAAAAACCACCTAGTGGAATGCTGGAGCTGTGGGAGAGGGTGCAGGAGGAATGGAACAAGATACCGGCGGAGGTGTGTTCAAACCTCATCGATTGTATGCCGAGGAGGATCAAGGCAGTGATTCGCGCAAAGGGACGCTGGCCTAGGTACTAGTTTTTCAAGAATCTAGTTTGCTGCCTGTCCTCGGTACAAATTGTCCGGATGTGCTCTTATGATATGCGTAGGTGTTTAAGGACCATGTATTATACTACTCTGGTGCTCTAAATGATCTTCTCCACGTGTATGCACACCATAAATTAAGGCTTAATGTTTACACCTCTGCACTCATCAAAATGCAAAAAAAGGCTGAACATGTGGACAATTTTTTCCGTCACTGTATTTCTCCCACCAAACACTACCTGCTTGACGCAACCGTTGGACCAGGGGCTCATCGCGACGCTGAAGGCTTGGTACCGAACGTTCCAGACCCTCGACATGTTCCGCGAATGAGAAGAGTTTCAGAGCGAGGTTATGCTGTTGCAGTACAAGCCCGATATGGTACTGGTCATAACCTGGCTCTCGGACTCATCATTCTCGATCGAGCCTGAGACTGTCCAGTAGTGCTGGTGGCGGAGCGTATCCTCCCTGCTAGCTGGCTCGCGAGACTCCCCCTGGTCGGCACCACAGCCGCTGAGCAGGAACATAACTTGCCAGCCGATTTCCTGCCAGTCACGGAGTATTTGGCACGGCTGCCATGGGGCGACGAAGACCGCATGGATGTGGTCCAGTTCGTCACATGCGACAGCGACGATGAGATATGTGACCCTTGTGGCGAGGATCCCCTCGCTTTGGAACCTCTGGGCTCTCCTGCATGCGGCGCATGATATCTTCGTGCCCCGGACATTTCGCAGCCAGTTCATGATTCGCGCAATCGCCGGCATCTTAGCCGCATGGCGACAGAGATGTTGGTCGGTTATGCGCGGTCCATCGGGCTCATACCGAGGGACCTCCGCATTCTGTTCAACATTCGAGACCCGTCCGTCATTGATCATCTTGAACGCGCATCCCCTCGCTTGGACCTAAACTGTGCTCCAAGTGTTGTTTCAGAAGAATACCGGCAGCATGTGCTGCAGGCGACGGCCGTCATGGACGGCTGGGTGGACTCGGCTGAGTGGATGAGCTGAGGGAGCACTGTGTTGCGCTGCCTGTTGTGTGTTTTGTGTTGCGCTTGCTCTCGGGAGTGTGCTGACATTTGCTGTAGCGAGCGTGTTTAACCTGTGTGGTTGTTTTATTTTGCGTGTAGGAATTGTGTTGTTGGAATTGTGTTGTTGCCCGGTTGTGTTGAGTGCTGCGTCACTAGTTGTGTCATTGCTGATGTGTCATTTCGGGTTTTCAGGGTGGGTTTGAGTGTTTCGGTGTTCTTGGACTGTTTGTTGTGTGTGTTGGACACTTTTTAATGACACGGGTTTTGAAATCCTACGTGTCGCGTGGTAACACAGAATGTCGCAGCATTGGACAAGGCACCCTTCCATGAACAGAACATTCCAGACAAGACACTCCGACCCCCATATTCACTCGTTAGTCCATTTTGCCCCTACCGTACGGGCCCTATTCGACTAAGTCGATATCTGTGAGTCGCAGATTTGGAGCATAGAGCATACCCGCTGTACCAGGCGGGCAGGCAACCAATTTGGCTAGGTGCACCCGCAAGCCGTGAATCGTGTGGCCTAATGCTGTGCCAAGTCGATGCTCTGGAATTTTCAGTGATTTCACCATGTCCTTCGGTACAAGTCATACAGTCGATGCCCAACCTTATTGCAGCTCAACCTGGCGCCCAATCAGAATCCGTTCCCAAAACCCCCGATATACGGGCAATGGGAGATCCGTTTGAGTCACTCATGATTGCGTCTGCGACGAACATATAGCAAGGGACAAGTCGTTGCCGACGAGGTTTTGTCGCCACGGAACTGTGCACCGCCGTCGCCTGATCGCTTCACAAGAGTCGCACACTGGCAACAAACATCGCCACAAAGCCCCACCCACAAATACCCACCCATTTTGACGTGTGCTCGTGCGAAAGCCTCATTTGCCCGTGGCGAGGGAATGCGAAATACTTGACCGATTGAATCCCCGGCACCCTAAAATCTTGTGCGACTCTGACGAGCTTCGCCTGTATTCGAGAGACTCCTAAAACGCGGCTCGAAAAAAATGGCGTACATGGCATAATGACGGTACGCTACGGCTACGGGCAAACGGGACTATGGAGTTTCCATAAATATTGGAGCTTTGTTTGTTATGGACTGTTCATGGTCGGCAGCTTTGGCGTATGCTGCGAGCATTTGTCGCCCGCCAGTCGCACGCGTGTCAACACTAGTTTCAATACATAGTTGCATGTTTCGACAACAAATAGGTCAATAGATGAAAAATAAGGTCGAGTTGTTTACATATGTGATTTTTTTTATAATTGCATCATATTGTGCCTTTCACGAAAATTTTGGCTTGTGGAGCGAGATACTCGAAATGGTTTATGGTGTAGTACAGGGCATAGAATGTCATTGCGATGAACACAAAAACCCTGTATATCGCTGACCAACTCAGCATACTAGCGGTGCTCTTTTTGAGGTGATGCAAAAGTTACCTACATGGCGTTTGAGTGGTGCTTTTAGTGCTGGGGGGTTGCCAATGAGCCGCAGCATCAGCAGCTCCTTATTCAGCACAGCAATGAGCAGCCGATCTAGGTACCACC